AATAAGATGGCAGAAATAAATCCAAGTAAGTACAAATAAATCAGTACTTACAAATGGACGAAACTGATACAGTAGATTTAACAAAGAATTTTTAAACTTACTTTGTGTATGTATTTATATTCTTTGAATGTATGAATTCTTTATAATAGAAAAGGTCATTTTGAGAGAGGGTAACCAAATGACTTCTGGATCTTTAAACTTTAATTTATGAGCCACAATAGTCAAAATATTTCCCCCACTCCACGCCTAAACATAACCTGGTGTCTTTTACCCACTTTGCTCTCTTAGCACTTCTTGGCCACTTGCTTAGAACTAGGACTAAAGAAGCCACTCCATTTTCCAAAAAGGCTACTTCATGAATACGTGGTAAGAGCACTGCCTCTGATGCCAACACACTCATGTTTGAATCCCGGCTAACCAATTACCAGTTAATAATGCCAAGCAAGTTAGTAAACTCTCTGTGTCTCAACTTCTCAGTTGTAAAATGAGCATAATGTTACCTACTTAGTAGGATTACCGTAAACAAAATTCAAACACACGCATATTTGTGTGTACCACAATACAGTTCTCAATATAGAAAATGCATTCAATAGCTAGGTGCAGCGGCTCAAGTAATCCCAGCACTTTGGGAGGCTGAGGTGGGTGGATCACTTGATGTCAGAAGTTTGAGACCAGCCTGGCCAACATGGTGAAACCCCGTCTCTATTAAAAGTACAAAAATATTGTGCCACTGCACTTTGGGAGGCCGAGGCAGGCAGATCACCTGAAGTCAGGAGTTCAAGACCAGCCTGACCAACACGGAGAAACCCTGCCTCTACTAAAAATACAAAAAAATTAGCCGGGCGTGGTGGCACACACCTGTAATCCCAGCTACTGGGGAGGCTGAGGCAGGAGAATTGTCTGTGCCTGGGAGGCAGAGGTTGCAGTGAACCAATATCATGCCATTGCACTGCAGCCTGAGCAACAAAAACGAAACTCTGTCTCAAAAAAAAAAAAAAAGTACAAAATTAGCTGGGCATGGTGGCAAGTGCCTGTACTCCCAGCTACTCAAGAGGCTGAGGCAGAAGAATCGCCTGAACCTGGGAGGCAGAGGTTGCAGTGAGCCAAGATTGTGTCATTGCACTCCAGCCTAGGCAACAAGAGCGAAACACTGTCTCAAAAAAAAAAAAAAGAAAATGCATTCAATAAATGCATTCAATAAACAGTAGCTATTGTGAACATCACAGGGGGACAGCACTAATTCATTAATTTATTTAACTATCTATAGAATGTCTCCTATATGCCAGCATTAGTGCTAGACTTTTGGAGACACAGATGAGTAAAAGTATCCTTGTTATGATACTGTTTGCTTTGTGCCAGACATTTACCTATACAATTTTACTTAATCCTGGCAGCAATCTTATGAAGTACTGTTTTTCTTTTGAGGGGAGGGGGGATGGTGTTTAAGAGATGGAGTCTTGCTACGTTGCTCAGGCTATAGAGTGCAGCAGCTATTTATAGGTGCAATCCTAGCATACTACATTCTCAACTCCTGGCTTGTAACGATTCTTCTGCCTCAGCCTCCCAAGTAGCTGAGACTACAGGCATCTGTCACTACATCGATTATAAGGACTGTTATCTTAATTGTCCAAATTAGGAAACTTAATAAATTAAGAGACAATCCAATTCACACAGCTAGCTATGGAAGAGGGACTGGAACATGAGTGCTATATAACCCCAAAGTCTAAGTCTTAATTACCTCATCTCTCTGCTTCACTTAAATGGGGAGCTTCACATTCAGGAATATACAAAGGGTGCAGTTGGTACACTTTATTTTTATTATTTCTGGCCAAAAAGTATAGAACTCTAAAAAGAGCAGGGTTTATAACCATAGAACATAACACAGCAATGCTAAATGGAATTATCTGCCAAGTTCTTGAGTTTTCAGTTTTTGTACCTTCTTAAGAGGGGAAAATAACATTTTAATTGAGTACTGCCTATTTTTTAATGTATTAAATCTTGTGGTTTTCATATACAAATATTTTTCTAGGTGCTACAGAATGAACTGGCACTTTTCTGTAACTTAAATCTGGTTTACTTTTTGATGAAGGGGAAGAAACTAATTACCTAATGATAAATAGTTCAATGAGACTATTGAACTAATAGGGAGGCAGATTTGAGTAAAAAAAGGAACTGAAAATAAATTAATTAATTAAATTAAAAGGGGGGTGGGAGGAAAAAAAAAAAGGAAGCACTTTCTAAATTATTTTTTACCCTTCCAAAATTGAACAGGGTGCGGTCATCCAGTAGTTTTAGACTACTTCTCAAAACACTAGATCATTGTTCTACAAATATTACAGATTTTATTATGGGAAGGGGAATGGCTGTACCTATTAAGATAATGACTTTTGTCCCTGAAAATAGCAACAAGAACTTGAGTTTCAGCCAGCTTACAATATCGAAACAATGTAACACACCTAGAAAAGGTATTGCTAGGTTCTCCATTTTAAAAAACTGCTCTGAATTTTCTTTGAATAAAAGAAAAAAAAAAAAGGTATGTCCCTTTAGTCCCCCCATCTACTTAGGAGGCTGAGGCAGAAGGATAGCTTTGAGCCCATGAGTTTGAGGCTGTAGTGAGCTACAATTGCACCTATGAACAGCACTCTAGCCTCAGCCTGGGCAACACAGTGAGACCCCATCTCTCTCTGACTCCCCACCTCTCTCTCACTCTTTTTATCTTTCTTCTCTTTTTCTTTTTGAGACAGGGTCTCACTGTGTTGCCCAGGCTAAAATACAGTGGAACGATCATGGGTCACCACAGCCTCCACCTCCTGAGCTCAAGTGTTCCTCCCACTTCAGTCGGTGTGTGTCACCATACCTGGGTCATTTTTTGTACAGACAGGGTTTCGAAATTTTGCCAGGCTGGTCTCAAACTCCTGGGCTCAAGCGATCCTCCCCCTCAGCCTCCCAAAGTGCTGAGATTACAGGTATGAGCCACCGTGCCAAGCAACTGCATTTCTTAAAAAAAAAAAAAAAAAGCCTGGCCAACATGGTGAAATCCCATCTCTACTAAAAGCACAAAAATTATCCCCGCGTGGTGGCAGGCACCTATAACCCCAGCTACTCAGGAGCTGAGGCAGGAGAATCACTTGAACCCAGGAGGGGGAGGTTGCAGTGAGCCAAGGATCAAGCCACTATATTCCAGCCTGCAGGGCAAGAGCAAAACTGCGTCTCAAACAAAAAAAAAAAAAAAAAGAGAGAGAGAGAGAGAATGGTAAAGAAAAAAAATCTTTCTTCTGTAAGCACAGCCACCTTGTAGAAATGATTTGTAGACTGCCACAACTCCATTTACCCTTACTGCTAAGAGAGCACTTCTTTCACGTACTGAATTTGAAATGAAGGCAGGTGATTTTAAGTAAAATTATAATACAAGGAATTTGAGGCCAGGTGCAGTGGCTCACATCTGTAAGCCCAGCACTTTAGGAGGCCAAAGCAGGCGGATCACTTGAAGTCAGGAGTTTGAGACCAGCCTGGGCAACATGGTGAAACTCCATCTCTACTAAAAACATAAAAATTAGTTGGGTGTGGTGGCACATGCCTGTAATCCCAGCTACTCGGGAAGCTGAGGCAGGAGAATCCCCTTGAACCGGGGAGGTAGAGGTCGCAGTATGCCCAGATCATGCCTATGCACTCCAGCCTGGGCAAGAGTGAGACTCCATCTCAAAAAAATGAAATAAAGAATTTGGTGCCCACTATCCTGTTGAAAACAGCTGATGATTAACAAAGTCTGTATATTAAATAACTTGAAAAATCATTAAATAAATACCTTCAATGCAAAGCAAATCATTTTCATTTGATAAGGAAGAAAACGCTCTCCCATTAATTTGAGTGAATCCCACCTAAGACTGGAAGATAATTCAGAAACTGTTTCACTAGTGTCCCCATTTTGAAGACGAGGAAATGAAGATCGAAAGCACTGTAATTCAGTTACTTGTTTACATATTTTCTCACCTCATAACTTCTGCTCTTATTTAGTGTAGTTATATATTTTTAATTCATATTTTTCTGCTGTATGCCTACTACAACTTTAGGACCAGGACTAAAAGAGAACATCTGAAAGCTCTAACATTTATCATATATAAATTATCATAACGTATTTACTTAATTATAGTGAAATGCATGAAAGTAATTAGAATTATTTATATTTTTGCTGCTCAAATGAGGATTTGCCTCCCAAGCTGGCCTACACAACAGACATCTCTGGCTACCACATAAAGGAGAGGAGGGGATTTTAAAGAAGTCTTGCAAATCAAAGAAAAAAGAAATCCCTAGTTTCAAACTCGCCTGGGAAGAAGAGAACACATTTACAACACAGGGGAGATTATGTGGCCTTGAAGAGATAACCTTGTGAACTTCTTTAAGATTCGATGAGAATTCAGAAGTCAACACACCGCATTACTGATACCTGAACTTGTTAACACAAAAACAGCAATAATGATTCCGTTTTCTGTTGTTAGGAACAGGTTTTCTTAGGAGAGACTTGCCGCTTTTCACACTCAGCCTGGGAGTCAAGCGTCCCTTTAAGGAAACCTAGGCACTAAGGAGGCTGCTCACCACACCTAGGGTATCAGACCTGGGCGGACACCAGCCTCCCGTCACCGTACTCGGCCCTCGCCCCGGCTCCCCAAAGCAGGAATTTAGTAAAGCACCTTAAGTTTCAGTAGCTACAAAACTGGTTTTTACCTATTCCTTAAAAAAGAGAGAGGAAAAAAAAAGGATTATACCTTTACTTTCGGAATTCTCTGAGAAGTGACCTCTAGGGCTAGGCGGGTTCCCACCCAACGTCCTCTGGGCGAAGGCACAGCATAGCTAAGGGAGTGGGTGGCCGAGCGCAGCCTTCCACGACGAGTCTCCGGAGCCAGCTCCGCAGCGGGCGGACAGGGCGCACCTGAAGGCCGCGGGCGCCCCCTCCCCGCACTCGCGCGCCGGGCCACCCTTCCCCCGACCCCCGAGGCGCTTACCTGTGGCGCCTGCGGGCACCTGGCCCCTGAAGGCAGCCGCCCCTGCCCGTCCCGGGTGCGACACGGACCTGCTCCAGGGCCGGGGGACTCCGGGCGGCAGGTAGGAGGGGTTGGACTTCCTCCGGATCGCCACCCGCCTGAAGTTGGAGCCGCCATCGCCGCTCATCGTGCCGGGCTCCGCCGCCGCTCCGCGACCCCTCCCGCCCCCGTCCAGCCGCGAGCCGCCCCTGGGGGGCGTCGCCTGCATGGCCGGGTTGGGCGCGACTCCGAAGGCGCCCTCTGCCGCGGCGTCTCCTCAGCCTTCTCTCCCTCTCGGATTCCGGACGCTCCCTGCGGGCGTCGCGGCGAGTCGGCTGCGACTCTTCCTGCTGCAGCCGCGGCGGCGCCGGGTCTCTGCGGCTCCCGCACGCACCCACAACCGCCACCGCCGCGGCCGGCCCGGGACTGCCTCCACCCCTTCCTCTCTGGAGCCAATCGCCGGCAGGCCCCCAAGGGCGGGAGAAGGAGAGCGCAGAGGGTTCAGCCCGTCTGCGGCGCCGCCGCCGCCTCCCCCGGCCGGGGCTGGGAAGCCGCCAAGTACTTGCTGTGCCCAGCGGATCGCCCTGGGCGAGGCCCGGGAGCCGGAGTCGGCTCGCTCGGGCCGGCCCCGCCCCGCCGCGCCCCGCCGCGCCCCGCCGCCCCGCCCGTCGGCCGAGGGAAGCCGCGGGGGCGCGCACCTGCGGCCGCACACCTGGGGTGCTGCGAGGCGGGGCTGCGCTCACCTGCGGGCCGCGCGGTGCTTTCGAGAAACCCAGCTACTCTGAACCCTGTCCAGGGTGCTTGCATTCTTGCAGACCCACATTCTGAGGGTCGCTTATGTGTCTCAAGTCGTTGTGCTGAACCGTTGATAATAATCTTATGTCCTAAAACTACCGAATAAGTAACACCAGAGAAGGAAATCAAGGTGCTGAACCTCGAGTGGGGTCACATAGCACTGCAGAGCTGGCGTCTGTGCACCGAAGTGTGTCCTTACTCCAATGAACCATCTTGCCAGGAGTTCGGCACAGAAAATGAAATAAGGAGTGTGGAAGTAAAAGAGGAAGGGTAGGGAGCTGTGGTAAGAAAGAAAGAAAGAAAGAAGAGGGGTATAACTAACAATCCACAGGTTTACAGAGGAGCAGCAGACCTTCCATCATTCGGGACTTAATTAGGAGTGCACTTTGCAGTCCTTTTACTTTGTGTGTTTGTTTTGAGACAGGGTCTCGCTCTGTCACCAAGGCTGGAGGGCAGTGGTGTGATCACAGCTCACCGAAGCCTCGACCTCCTGGGCTCAAGCGATTCTCCTGCCTCAGCCTCCTGAGTAGCTGGGACTACAGGCGTGCGCCACTGCCACTGTCTAATTTTTGTAGTTTTTATAGAGAGGAAGTCTCCCTGTGTTGTCCAGGCTGGTCTCTAACTCCAGGGCTCAAGCAATCCTACTGCCTTAGCCTCCCAAAGTGCTGGCATACAGGCTGGAGTCACTACGCCCAGCCTGGAGTCCTTTTAAATTATCAAGTCATGTTTTTGTTTTTAACAACAGCTAAATACTAACTTGAAGCAAATGCTTGTTTGCTTGTTTTTTAGTTTCGGGTCACACTCTGACCCAAGCTTATTTATTAATATATTTATTTTTAGTGCAGATGAGGTTTTCCTATGTTAACCAGACTGGTCTCCAACTTCTGGACTCAAGCATTCCTCCCACCTTGGCCTCCCAAAGTGCTGGGACTATAGCTGTGAGCCACAGTGCCTGCCAAAAAATATATTTTAACTTGACTTGCTTATCTACATTTGAAAATTCACTAATAACAAAGAGACTATGTCCTAAAATCAGACAGATAGGAAGCAAAAAGGCAGCATCCTGAGTACCTCAGCTCAAGCCGAGTTCCCCAACCATCACTTCCACCTTTCTTCAAAAGTTCCTTTATCCAGTTACCATCTCCAGCCCCCTGAAGTGTGAGAGTAATTCAATCTTTCTCAGCCTTCGTAGAGGGTAGTTCAACTGTTTCAGTCTCCCTGGATGCTGCCCCAGTACACATACATACTCCCGAGGAGAAGGAATTGGCCCTCTAATGTTTTATGTAGCCATTCGGATCTTTATTAAAAGGAGCTTTTGCTCCCTTAGGATTTTTTATTCCTGTATCAATGTATTGCACCTATTTATTCTCTTTCTGAGTAGCTGCACTATTATCTACTGTGCCATATAGTATCAAAATTAACTTAAGTAGTTTCAAATATAAATTAAAGCAGAAAGTTTTGCCTCCATATACATAAATTGACTATAAATGCAAATTTCTAACTTAGTTTATTTGCTTCAATAAAAAGATAGTGTTAAAATCAACAATACTATGGTAGCAATTTGGCTTAGAGCAACCTATTTTTTTTTTTTTTTTTTTTTTTTTTTGATAAGGAGTTTTGCTCTTGTTGCCCAGGCCAGAGTGCAATGATGTGATCTCGGCTCACCACAACCTCCACCTCCTGCCTCAGCCTCCCAAGTAGCTGGGATTACAGGCATGTGCCACCATGCTCGGCTAATTTTGTATTTTTAGTAGAGACAGAGTTTCTCCATATTGGTCAGGCTGGTCTCAAACTCTCAACCCCAGGTGATCCACCCGCTTCAGCACCCCGAAGTGCTGGGATTACAGGCGTGAGCCACTGCACCTGGCCTATGTTATTTATATTTATCTTTCTTGGTTCAACTTGTTTACATTTCCTAATGATATTTGTTCACATCAGTGGATGTCGGTATTTTCTGATGGAATATTTTGTAACAAATATCATCTGACATCCCCTCTGTCAATATTGCTGCTGCTTATTATTTTCTGATAGAAACTATTTCTAACGGACCTTACATTTTATCCCTAGGTTTTCCAGCACTGAAATAATGGGGTCAAATGTACTTTTTGTTTTCAAGTTATCATACGTTAAGATACTGAATATCATCCTGGACATGTAGTCCATTTTTTTTTTTTTTTTTTTTTTTGAGATAGAGTTTCACTTTTGTTGCCCAGGCAACCAGGCTAGAGTGTAATGGCACGATCCCGACTCACCACAACCTCCACCTCCCAGGTTCAAGCAGTTCTTCTGCCTCAGCCTCCCAAGTAGGTGGGATTATAGGTATGCACCACCACACCCAACTAATTTTGTATTTTTAGTAGAGATGGGGTTTCTCCATGTTGGTCATGCTGCTCTCAAACTCCCAACCCCAGGTGATCCACCCACCTCGGCCTCCCAAAGTGCTGGGATTATAGGCTTGAGCCACCGTGCCTGGCTATTCAATTATTTCTTGTGAAGAGTTCTCGTTTTCTTTTTGCATCAGTGGAATCTAAAAAATTCCTTTATGATCAACTGATTGAGGAAAATTTTACCAACTATCAAACAAAAAACACTGGAATATGTGCTGAAGTAATGGCATTCTCCTGTCACTTGCAACCCTATACTGAAATATACCCATGGTTCTAAAGCAGTTCAATTAATTTAGGATATATGAATTCAATATAATATAGTTAAACTATGTTCTAGAATGCATCTGATAAAGTTTGAAAACAGACTTAGAGAGCCTGTGACAGCTTCTATTTTCAGATGGAAAAACTGTGGCTAAGGTATTGAACAAATTATTCAAGAACTGATTGTGTTCTTAAAGATCCCCTAGATCAGCAAATACACAGGGTGATAATTGGCTAAGTGATGATCACACCAATTAGCCTGCGGAGGCAGTGTCAGATTTTTAAGTTCAAGATCTTATTAACAGCTGGGCCTTATTATTATGCTTGTCACTGGCAGAGCTTCTCTGTACCCTTGGACAGGATTCGCATCTCTGCCTCACAGCCAGAAAGTTTGGGAGACATCTGCTCAGTTCAGGATAAAAACTTTAATTTCATCTGGAATAAATTATTTTTCTTCAGATTGGCCACAAAGTTCTGCCAATCCCATTTATTTATTTCTCAAATGTTTGTTTCTCTCTCTCTCTCTCTCTTTTTTTTTTTTTTTTTTTTTTTTTGAGACGGAGTTTCGCTCTTGTTACCCAGGCTGGAGTGCAATGGCGCGATCTCGGCTCACCGCAACCTCCGCCTCCTGGGTTCAGGCAATTCTCCTGCCTCAGCCTCCCGAGTAGCTGGGATTACAGGCATGCGCCACCATGCCCAGCTAATTTTTTGTATTTTTAGTAGAGACGGGGTTTCACCATGTTGATCAGGATGGTCTCGATCTCTTCACCTCGTGATCCACCCACCTCGGCCTCCCAAAGTGCTGGGATTACAGGCGTGAGCCACCGCGCCCGGCCTCTTTTTTTTTTTAAGATGGGGTTTCACCATGATAGCCAGGCTGGTCTTGAACTCCTGACCTCAGATGATCCACCCACCTCGGCCTCCCAAAGCGTTAGGATTACAGGCGTGAGCCACAGCACCCGGACTGTTTCTCTTTTTCTAGTAATGAAGCAATATATATTTATTGTAGCCAGTTTGAAAGGTATGGAAAATAGCAAGGAGCAAATCAATTCACTCATAATCTCTCTCAATGGAAACTGCTGTTAACATTTTGGTGCCTTTCCTTGAATCATACTGAATATACAATTTTATATCCTGTTTTTCTCATTTTAACATTTATGGTGAATTTTTTTTGTACATTATTAAAAGTTTCTAATTACAATATTTTGAAGGTTGACACAATAGTCTATAGGATGGATAAGTTATACTTTTTAAAAAACAAAATACTCTCCTACATTAGCTAAAAGTTGCTTCAAGATTATTACTGTTGTAAATAATGATAAGCCACTTCCTCCCTTTCCCCCAGGGCAAAAAAAGAAAAAATATATATATAAATAATGATGCCGTTAAAATCTTTTTTTTTTTTTTTTTCTTTTCCTGTCTTTCTCTCTCTCTCTCTCTCTCTTTTTTTTTTTTTTTTTTTGAGACGGAGTTCCACTCAATCGCTCAGGCTGGAGTGCAGTGGCGCGATCTCGGCTCACCGCAACCTCCGCCTCCTGGGTTCAGGCAATTCTCCTGCCTCAGCGTCCCGAGTAGCTGGGACTACGAGCGCACACCACCCCGTCCAGCCACTTTTTTTCCCCCTATTTCAGGTGATCCGCCCGCCCTGGTCTCCCTAAGTGCTGAGATTACAGGCTTCAACTACCGCGCCCATCCACTAATATTATTTTTAATAACACCATACCTAGATAATTGGAGTCATATATATTGACAGGCATGAAATTCTTTCATTCATTTATACATGGGTTAATTCAGCAAATATTATTGAGAACTTATTTTGTGCCAGATTCTACTCTAGGGGCTTAAGATACAGTAGAGAACAAAACAAAGGTTCATACCTTTCGAAAGTTCCTGCGTACCATGGATGGAGACACAAAAAACAGTAGTATTGTCGGGGCGCGGTGGCTCACCTCTGTAATCCCAGCACTTTGGA